CCATTTTTTTCCCCAAAGCCCCAGTAGATAGTTGTATGTCATAGTTGCACATCCTTCTAGTTGCTGTATGTGGGATTCCGCCTCAGCATGGCCTGACCAGCGGTGCGTTGGTGCGCGCCCGGGATCCGAACCCCGGGCCGCCAGTAGCTGAGCGCGCGCACTTAGCCGCTAAGCCACGGGGCCAGCCCCCTACCCTATTGTTTTATTTTTACTATTTTTCTAACTTTCTGTTTTGACTGCTTTGCAGGATTGAAACGAACATACAAAACATACATAAGAATATGCCTGATTAAAGCAATACCCAGATGCTATTAGTCGCTGGGTTCCAGAACCATGAGATGGGACGACTTTGTACTACATCAATATAAATGTTCCACTAGTACATTTTCATGCCCTGATGCCAGAGTTTTAGCTACAAATTGACCTCTTACCTATTTGGCTAGTAGAACTTGCAGACATTTGGGACTTACTTTACTCATGTAAGCATCACCCTGCAATTTGGCTAGTCATTGTTAAATGCAGTGTTAAATTGAATAAAGTTAAATTTGAAACCAAGACCATTCTAAGCCAAGCCAGTCTCAGTCAGCTTTGAGACTATGTACATTTCCAATGGAATGAAGGCACCAGGAACTCTGTGGCCAATTTTCCCAAGTGAGACAAAAGCCTCTCAGATTCCAGGAGCAGGTTCTAGTTAACTTTTATGTCACAAACCCTGGTAATTCCCAGCCCTAAAATCCTCCAACTCTTATGATTACTTTAAAAATATGGATCGTGTCTAAATTTGAGACACAAAAATGGGGTTGAGTCTTACCAATTGATTGTCAATCATCTTTTCTACTTAAATATTTTTGTGTGTTTTCTGTTTTGTCCAGTTAACATGGAAATTATAAATTTTCCATTTGTGGTCTTATTTGACCCAATGCAAAGATCTCTCTGATTTGATTCTTCTGTCCTGATGTGTTTGGCATCCTTAACCCACCTGAGTTACATCATCATCATTATTATTGTTTCTCTATTTATTACGCAATTGTTCTGTGAAATAAAACTCAGTCTCTGCTGGTAGAATTGAAATGTGAACAAGTTCAACCATAGGACCCAAGCGGGATTAATAACGACATGTTATATAATTTTCAACTGTAGTAACATCCACTCCGAGCAAAACTGGATCATCAACATTTCCTTGTGAAGCCTAGAAGCTGTGTCAGTCATTTTCTTCTTTCCCTACTGACCTTTTGGGAAATTTTCTTCCACTGATGGAACCGTCGTTCTGTCACAGTGAAAGACAACAGAATGATGTAAAATGGTGATGGGCAAAGCAAGGGCTCAGGCTGGCCTGACTGTGGCAGATTCAGTCAAGTCCTCCTCCTGATTTAAAGGGAAGCAAGTGGTACTTAGAATTTTGAAGTTTCATAACTGTCATAGCTAGGCGTTAAAAATAACTGAATACAGTAAATGTATAGTTTTAAATATTATAGTTCATCAATTCCTTTTAAAAGTCGGCATAAAAAAATTGCACCCTTAAATTCCTTATTTTTTCCATTGCTTTTACTAGGTATGTATTTTTAAAAATCTAATTTAGCTTGACCAAGTAGGCAAGTACTACTAGATCGAGTTTTTCCTATGAAATAAGAGGTTTCTCTCTTCATAATACAGTGACTAAGAGTACTTCTTGAAGTAAGCCAAACCTGGGTTAAATCCAAGTTCTGTAACTTACCGTCAGTATGATCTTTGGCAGCTTATTTCATCTCTCAAAGTCCTGAATTTATTCAACACTTAGTGAAAAAAGGAAATAATAATGTGCGCTCACCTCATGGGATTCTTGAAATAGGCTATGCCCTTAGCACCACACCTGACATGCAGTAAGCTTGCAACATCATGGGTCTTGGCCTCTGGTCCACAGGGAAGTGTTTTGGTGAGTTTATCTAAATAAAATTTTATCATTGCAATTTAAAGCAAAATTAGAAAACTTTTGCCCCCAAACCTTGGAAAAAATATTTTTTCTTAAAGGGCAACAATCAGTTAGACTTGAATGAATGAAGAATCTCCATTAAAGATAAAATAAACCTTCATTAATTTGTTTTTTCTTCATATATTTATTAAGCTCCTCTATAGGCCAGATTCTCTGCCTTGGGAATTAGGAATTTGTTCTTTTCCATTGACATAATTTCTCTGTTGAGCTTCTCATCATCTCCATTGACATTTACTTCCCCCACACACTCAAAATGTGACACAGTTTTCTTTTCCCTCTTCTCTCTTCACTGTTCATTTTCAAGCAATGATAAAATTTCTCCCCTGAAGCTGATTTTGGGAATGTGGTGACAAAGCAGCTCTCTTCAACTCAGAACCTATCCTGACGTGACAGCCTCGATCTTCAACAAGCAGTGGAGTGGAGTGCTCTGAGAATAAAGGGGGGTATTCTCCAGCTCCTCCAGGTTTTGTTTTGTTTTTCCATGCAGAGTTAAAATGGTCTTTGATTTAAATATAGAGTAAGACACATCACCATTTATCTTTAAGTGCAAACATATGCCCTAACAGCATATAGGTGATTCAGGTGAGTAATACCTACAACGCTCCCTTCACTAACACAGATGTTTGACAAAATATGACGTGATGCAGTGATAACCACAATTCAACAGATAACTCAATAGATTATCTGTCTATCTATCTATCTATGTATCTATCTATGTATCTATCTATCTATCCATCCATCCATCCATTCATCTATCCATTTATCCATATGTATGTGTATTTATTTTAGTGGTCAAGCTTCTTTGAAGAGCAGACACTGAGCTGAATCAAGCGAAAATGACCTAGCTTTGCCCCAGCTCTCCACAAGCCAGTTGAGGGCAGGCACTCTGGGCAAGAGTACTTTCCATCCAGTATAGTTGGGTCATGTTCAGGCCTACCTGGCAGATCCCCTGTTCAACTCAGCACCAGCCTTGCCTCCAGTCTTCTCTGCAGCACTTAGTCATTTCTATAGGGGTCGGGGAAGCCTGGTGTTCTTTTCAGAACTTTTCAGGACTATGTTTGTTGGGCCAGGGGTCCTCTTGAGTTCATAGAACCCACCCTATATTTCTGGAGCTGGCCCCCTCAATGAGCCAAGGACTGGACTAGGATTAAACTGGGATCAAATTGGCTTCCGTGGAAGGACAAAAGGGCGAAGTGGGATCTTGGAACTGAAGACAGCTTGGAGGTGTCGTGTCCAACCTGCTCCTCAGTAGGTCCTTTCTGGGCTTCTGTGTCAAAAGGACCTCTAGGCTCTGCATGAGCACTCCTGGTGACAGAAGTCGGGTGGACAGACCATTGGTAGGCTGCTTAAATGATGAGAGTTTTTCTTATTTTTGAATCGATATTTGCTTTCCTCTAACGCCCACTGTTATGTCTTTATCTGTCTACTTTTCCAACTCTCTTCTTGCTTTCTTTTGCCCTTTTAAGCCAGAGGTACCCTGATCTTTACCTGATCACTCTGAAGCTAACCATTTGTAAAATATTTTTCTTCTTAACATTCCATTAGATGTCATTAGATGAGATAAGACCTATAATTATAATAACCAAAGCACTTGACAATTAACAGGCACTCAATAAATAGTAGTTCCATTTTTGTTTTTAAAATACCACTATGGTGCACAGGAAAACACAGGGGTTCTGAAATCAAATAGGCTTAGATTCGATTGTACTGCAAGTATTAACTTGCTTTAGGATCTTGCGCTACATATTTCACCTTTCTGAGTCTCTGTGTTCTCAGCTTTTTTTAAAAAAAAGATGTCATGATAAAACCCATTTTACAGAGTCGTGTTGAGGATCATCTGTGCTGGTATCCGTAAAGCACTTAGCAGAGATCCTAGCACACAGAAGGTGCTCAGTAAATGTTAGTTTAGTTTCCATATATAACACATCCTTCCCCAAGCCCACCTACCTCATGATCCAGAATAGCATATATATACTATATATATAGTGTAAAGAGAAAAGATTAAGGAGCATTGGCTTCCAGCTTTGCCCTTTCTAGTCTCAAGACCTTGGATAAATCACTTTACTTCCTTGCATGTTTCCTTATCAAATAGTACCATGTCTACTACAAAGGTTTGTTGTAAGGATCAAATAAAATATCAGACAGGCAATAACTTTCAAAAATCATGGTGTGTTCTCTTAATGTAAGGTATTGTTATTGCCAGTAGTAATTTATCCTTGAATAATTGCAGAATGAAAGAATGATCTAGTGCCCCCACCACATCCCTCCTCACACTGGTGCAGGGAGGAAAAACCCAGCAAACTTTGTATTGAAAACCGATCCATGCGTCTTTATGGAAACATGTGCATATGGGGACATTTGTCTGATAGGTGCAAATCCAGACAAACACTCACACAGGAACATTTGGCAGAGGAGCCCATTGACTAAATGCTCATATAAACACCACATAAGTCCAGAATCCTAGAGTTATATTGTCAACAACTGACACTCTTCTCTAATTTCTTCCAGGAATTTCTATTACATCACAATGTTGCGGGATCCAGTGTCACGTTACCTGAGCGAGTGGAAACACGTCCAGAGAGGGGCCACGTGGAAAACCTCCCTCCACATGTGTGATGGGAGAAGCCCCACCCCCGATGAACTGCCTACCTGCTACCCTGGGGACGACTGGTCTGGGGTCAGCTTGCGGGAGTTCATGGACTGCAGCTACAACCTGGCCAACAACCGCCAAGTGCGCATGCTGGCTGACCTCAGCCTGGTGGGCTGCTACAACTTGACTTTCATGAACGAGAGCGAAAGAAACACCATCCTGTTGCAGAGCGCGAAAAACAACCTGAAGAACATGGCCTTCTTCGGGCTCACGGAATTCCAGAGGAAGACACAGTTTCTCTTTGAGAGGACATTCAACCTCAAGTTCATCTCCCCGTTCACGCAGTTCAACATCACGCGGGCTTCCAACGTGGAGATCAACGAGGGCGCCCGCCAGCGCATCGAGGAGCTAAACTTCCTGGACATGCAGCTTTATGAGTATGCAAAAGATCTCTTCCAGCAGCGCTACCGCCACACCAAGCAGCTAGAGCACCAGAGGCACCGGCAAAAGAGGCGAGAGGAGAGGAGGCTGCAGCGGGAGCACAGGGGCCACCGGTGGCCTAAAGAGGGTGGGAACACAGAGGGGGCTGTCACTGAGGACTACAACAGCCAGGTAGTGAGATGGTGACCCCCTGCCCTCTCCTCCCTTGGGATGGGGAGGATAAGCAGGCGCACTGGCCTTCTGTGGTGTAAGCTTGGAGAACATTGGACCATTCTGAAGACATCTGACTGTATGTGGCTTGATTTGGAACCTGCTTCCTCTTTGTCTTCATCTTTATCCAGTGGAGATGATCCATCTTGTTCTTTTTTTCCTGACGTTTTTCAGTCTGTGAGATTAAATAGGATAGGAATGCATCCAATCTAGGCCACTTTAGAAGGTTAAGGAGAGAAGCTCCGGCAAGGAAACAGTCCTTGCAATCTCCTTTGCAGCAGCATAGGTCATACGTTGAGCAACTGGGACACACAGAGGCACACATGAAAGGCCAAATTATGGCTTGGATGTTCTGCTCAAACAGATCTGTTTCATACTGTCTCTGTAATGGAAATATTGGTCTATTTAAAGAGAGAAATAGAAGTCCCTTTTAGCACTTAGATGAGGTATTCCGCCAGCCCTCACTTGGCTGTTGACTCTCATCTTTGAACTCTAATGGAATGTGGTTTCTATCATAAGTAGAGTAACGTGTTTTGTTGTTGCAATTGTTTTTAAACAAGATTATCCTACTATTGACTGTCACTAGAGACTCACATCTCACAAAGCCCCTCATCTTAGCCCTGATCCATGCTTCCTCCTCTGTCTTTTAGGGAAATGGCTAGTGGATTCAGAACAGGGGTGCCTGTGGCCCATGAGAAATGAACAATTGATAGGGCATTTAGGAGAAAATGTGCTTATTAACTAATGCTTAAGGAGATCACACTTTACCAATTTTTGTTTTCAATGTAAGGAATGAATGATAAATTAAGGAGAGGATAACTATGTGTCTAACGTTTCCATTCCTGCTACAGAACCTTAGTTTTTTAAAGACTTTTTCAGAGTTCTACCTGTTTGGAGCAGTCATCTTTTGTGTGGCCCTGCCAAGTTTGAAATTCTGCTATCACAGGGGAAAAGACATTTAGAAAGAATTTGGCCCAAAGAATAGGAGCTTAGCTAACATGTACGCAAAATATATTCAAGGTCACTAAACAAATAATAACTGATTTAGGCCAGGAGTCACGGAACTCAATGGGGTGGTTATCCAGGGAGTTTAAACAGATTCTCCTTCCTAATGTCTTGAATATCTCCAGCCTGATAACTTTTTATCCCCACATGAACTTTACCTATTGTGAGACCATGGCTACAGCCAGCAAATCAAGCTGGAGTGTATAAAACTGGACCAAAAAATGTGCTGCATTGCCAAGGGCTTCTTATTTTCACTTTTCCCAATCACAACTACAATAACACAAAGTTTGTTGAATAGTACGGGGAGACGTACGGAAGCAGGAATAGAAAGCTCTCACCTAGCATTCAGTAGAAGGATCAGAGTGGGTAGAAGGTATCACAAAAGATTGATTGGATCAATCCTTTCAAGGAGCTGAAGGCAAAATGAGTGAAACCCGTAAATCAGATGGAAAAGCCGATTTCATTGATATCCAACATGTTTGATGTTTAAGCCAGCTTTACATAAGCCACAGCTCAGTCTTTAGAATACTCTCTTTGGGGTTGAGAGTCAATCAACCCACAAGCATTCATGGAGTGCCTGCCTGCACGGAGGGGAGCCCAGTGTCTCCATCAAAGAGACATTTGAAGAAGCGGCTTAGGTCCTTCTCTCACTACACTTGGCCTCCTCTGTCATGGGAGGGAAGGCATGATTGGGGACCTCACTCATGCCAGGAACTGTGGGAGGCCCTTTTCATACCTTAAATCTATTCACAACAAGGTAGATATTATTAGTCCCAATTTCATAAATGAGAAGACTGAAACACACAGTAGCTTCCTCATGGATTGTAGCTAGGTCTGGCTGACTGCACAGTGCAAGCTCTTTTAACTCCATCATGTTTTCCATATGGGATAAAAGCTTTCTGCCAGTCAGGAAGAAGACAGCTGTTATTGTCCAAAAGCATTTGTCTCCAACACTTGTGAGTGGCACAAGTGTGACAGCACCAAGCCAGCAGTGACCCAGAGTCATGCTGCCTTGGGTGAATCCAGCCCTCTCCATGTCACTGACCCATCAATGAGCTGAGAGTTTGATGACTTTTTAGGCAATTCTTGAGCCATATATGAGGGTGAGTTAAAGGGCCATGTAAATATTGCTTGTTAGTTGGTAGAGATTAAGCTCACAGAATATTAGTGTTTCCCTTTCCAATGATTTGTTCCAAAAGTAGGGAGGGAAGGAGGATTGCAGCTGGGATTAAGGAGTATCTCTCTCTCTCTATCTTCACGTTTCAATGTGAGGATCTAATACTCTGCATAGAATGGCAGGACTGCAAATTATCCTTCTGCCTGCCCCTGTGACACACATACACACACACACACACATATGCACAATAACAATCCAGTATTTTGTCATGTGGAAAATCAAAACAAGTTAGAAAGCATTCGGATTGTTTCTTTTAAACTCATTTTAAATTTTGGCAGGGAATTCATGCATAGCTGAGACTTGGAGCAGGCTCTGCTAACTTCACACTGTTCCTTAGGCACCTCGGGATTTATATCAAAAGGCTTTCCATGGCCTTGCCGCTGAAGTCATGATGTATGGTGCTCCACTTGAGACCAGATATCAGGACGTTCGGGGGAGAAACCATCTCTTTGTGTTGGCCTGAGGCCAGTGCTGAGCAAATTAAAAAGACCGACATGGGTTTCCTTCCTCATATCATTTCATTCTAAAGCAGCGCTTGTCATATCCTTGGGGTCCTATGTTGATAGAAATGAAGAGGTAGGGACGCAGTTTGTTCTCTGAAAATTGACTGCACACCAACATGCTGAGTGAAGCTCAGAGAAGTGATGCAAACAGAAGTCATCTGGGCCTAAGGATCTATGGGAAGTCAGCAGCCTTCAGACTTAAGATCCTAAACCAAATCAATTTCAGATACATTAGTGTTAAAAGCCCAAGAAGAGGCAAAAAAAAAAAGAATTCCCCTGGTAGTTCCACATCCCATTGACTCCTAGGACTCCCAGGTAGACATTCTTTCCCTTCTCTTGGCAATGGCAGCTCCAGTAACCAGATTGGGATGAGGTATCCTTGTGTGTGTGTATACATATGTTTATTATTAAGGACTAAAATACATACTATCTATTCTATATCCTTCTAATTTTTTGGCAGGCTACTCTTTCTAGAGAAAAACTTGCCCTGACAATTATTTGGATATGTTCTCTAATAATTGATAACATTACCAATCAGTTAAATTATAAAAGTGTGTTTCTTATCATCTAAAGGAGACAACTCTGTCATAAACAGTTTAATCAAAGGTTTGAAATACGAGGACTTGTTCAAAAGTCTGAGTAGAGATAGTATTAATATGGGGAAGAAAGTCTACCAGATAGGCCTAGCCAGGAGGTGAGCGTAGATCACTACAAAATAAATATAAGTCTACTGGAGAGGATTCCCGTTTGGCTGCCTTAACAGAGAAACTCAAAACTACAGTGACTTCATTAAGATTCAAGCTATTGCTCTCTTACTTAAAAGACAGACTGCTTTGATAACTCTGGTGTGTGACATGACCAGAAACCCAGGCTCTGTCTTGTTGCTCTTTATCCTAATGTGCAAGCTTCCATCTCACAGTCCAAGATGGGTGCTGCAGCTCCTGCCATCTCATTTACATTGAAAACAGCAGAAAGGAAATGGAGGGAAGTTGCACATACCACTTCCAGTCACATCTTATGGGCTAAAGCCTAGCCATTAGCTACAACTAGCTGTAAAGAAGGCCAGGAAATGTCTTTATTCATGATTGCCACGTGCCTTGATAAATATGAGGGTTCTATTATTAAAGAAACAATGTGAAAATTAATACTGATAAAAACTATCAGTCTCTGACACAAAAGGGAATTGAAAAATATTTCAAGTGTTTTTCAACATCATCTGTTTCGTCATGTGTTTTGCAAAGGATAAGATTAAAAATTCATAACTTTGTATGGTATTTAATGCTTTTCAAGACATTTGTACATTTAGTATCTCATTTGATCTTCGCTACATTCTTATATGTTAAACAGAACCTCTATTCACTATCCCGTTTGATAGTTTGATGTGGAGATTCAGAGACGTTGAAAGATTTCCCAAAGATTCTAGTTTACTAACAAGAAAGTTCCTCAGAGCCCCAGTCTTTTGACTTTACAGCTTTTCCTATACTTTATGCTGCTCAGCGTGGGTATTGGGATTGGGTATTGCAAGAATATGAAATCTAAATATTTATTGATTTATATCCTCCTTGACCTTCTCATGGAACTTCAGTGACTTAGAAAATGCCAAGGAAATGGGTAGAGTTGGCCCTTAACCCCCCTGCCTCCACTGAGGGAGCCTCTTATCAGGAGTGAAATGTCCAAGAGATGGGCAGTGTTGCAGGGGAGATGGAGAAGCAGAGACACGCAACACCTCTAACTGGATGTCCACCCCATCTGATCCAAAGACTGTTCAAAATGAAGGCTGAGGGAATGTGCTCACAACTCCTTGGGGAAGCTCAGTGTTAGAAATATTTATTACCATCTGGGCTGGCCCGGTGGCTTAGCGGTTAAGTGCGTGCGCTCCGCTGCTGGCGGCCCGGGTTTGGATCCCGGGTGCGCACCAACACACCGCTTCTCCGGCCATGCTGAGGCCGCGTCCCACATACAGCAACTAGAAGGATGTGCAACTATGACATGCAACTATCTACTGGGGCTTTGGAGGAAAAAAAAATAAATAAAATCTTTAAAAAAAAAAAAAAAAAAAAAAGAAATATTTAGACTCAGTAGCAGCCTGAATGGTGAAGCTTAAGAAGTGATCAACAGAACCCCTGCTCAACAAGTCTCCCTTCTTCTTTACTGCTTCCCTAGGCCCCTGGAATTTTATCAGCAACTTATTGCTTTGGTTCTTAAAGGTTTTATTTGGTGTTAAATGAGTCCCTTTGCACATTTGCCGGAGAGAGAAAATGCTTTAAGCTGTCATAAGCTAATGCCTTCACACGGAAAGGCTATCTGATTCCTCTCCAACTATGACCTCTAGCTGAGAAGAAAGTCCTGTATAATGGGATCATGCAGAGGTGGGGGGTAGGAAGAGTCGAGGTAACTATAGAGGAAAGTAGGGCTTCTAAAAGGGAAGCAGGTGTGACAAAAGTGGAAAGATGAGGCCTTAAATATGTGCCAGGAAATACTAAAAAATAGCAAAATGACTAATATATAGTTTCTGTCCTCAAGAAAAAGGGCAGGCTGGAGACGTGTGGACTATAATTCTTTTAGCCATTTGAAAGAGCCAAAAAGGGCCTGAGGCTCCTGAGACAGGAGCAGAGCATTGGGATGGTTTAAGAGACTGAAGTGAAGGCTGACTAAGGTGGAGGAGTTGAATGAAAAGGGAAGCTGAGTGGGACTTAGAAAAAGAATACCCTGGTCTGATCACAACTGCGTCTCTAAGGTTTTCCTTTCCCATAGTTATTGTGCCTCGACTGGGCACCAGAACTCCATCTGAAAATCTCCAGGCTGGGTATTAGGGCTGGCTGAGTCTGATGACTCTACGCAGTTGTGTCATCTCTGGGAAGGATGCATGGGTCTTTTTCCAAGGCACTTACGGCTTCCTTCTTATCCCCTTCCTCCATCTCTACTGAACGTAAGCCAGCTATTTTCTCAGCACATTCATCTTGGACACCTCTGAACTAACTCCCTAAAACTGAATTGCCCTTCTGTGCAAGTGGTCAGGTTCTGAGACCCGTGTGTTTTGTAGCCTGATGGATGGAGTGTACATGGACCTATCTTCACCACACACTGACAGTACCAACCTACGTTGCAGAGGTGCCTAGATTTCCAGAAAATTAGCCTTGCTTTGAAC